CTTTTAGGATTTATTTTCATAGCCCAAAGAATTACACCCAAAACATTCAATGTATAATAATAGAGTAAGCACTGCACACCTATTGCAGTCTGTGTGGCTGAAGCAGCCATTGGTGCAGTAGGGACCTTAACACCATGACTGGTCAGGCCAGGCTCTTCCCAGAAGTCAGTAGCTTTGATTTGAGAAAATGATAAAACATAAGAGAGGACTGAAAACAAGATATGCAGGCAGAGCTGCTGGTCTTCAGAGCACTAACTCTTTTCTTTCTGGATTATTCTGTCCAGTCACTCTCTGATGGCCATTTAAAAGGACTGTTGTTTAGTCCGTTCTCAGGCTGAAACTAGGGTTTTTTTTAGGCTTGCTATAAAAGAATAATTTTGCGTTAATATTAATTTGACCTTTTTAAGTTTGATCACTCAAGAAATGAAGGTGTGCTACAATTCCTGTGGATATTCTAATACATCTACTGACTAGAGAAGCACCAGATTTCAAAGAAATCTCACTAGGATAGGAAGAAATAAAACAGCTTTATAATGAGGAAGAGTAATTTAACAAGTGACCTTTTCCAGTGCTCCTTTAACAGCTGTCACCCATTTTTAAAAATGGCAAGATACCAGTAGAGCAGTTCCTCAGAAACAGAACCAGATTTAGGGAAAAAAAAGGGGCTACAGTGCTACCTTCCCTAAGGAAGGTTCAGCTTATCTTTAGTTTGAAATTTTAAACTTAAAATAGTACCAAATGACTCCATTAGAAATACAATCATAGGTCTTCTTACATGGACACATTTTACAGGTGAAACAACAAGCATTCTGCATTTAATGAAATGGGAAATGATGCAATGAAAAAAGTATGCTTGCTTTGACTAATCAGCAGTGCTCAACAAAGATGAAGGAAGACCAAAAGTAAGTGCCACAAGTTAACAGCATTTTCACTAAAGTACTTCAGTCTTTGATACTTGGAATGTACATGCAGCAGACAAAATACACAACGCACATGAACGATGAAAAAATGCAAGTTTCAGAACAGTCCCAGTCAGTAATTCACCCTCCAACTAGCAAAAGTTTACCATTTCACTACAAAACTCATCAGAAATTGGTACCACCATTTATGAAACATTCTACTGTGACAGTGACTGACTGATACTAATTTTCAAAACCAGAATCACATAACAAAAATGTAGGGCAGGAAATGAGTCTGTTCAGAAAATTCTACATCTGTTTTGATAAAACAAACTGTGACAATTCTGTCAGGCACTAGAATTGGTCAGTTCTGCAGTTAAACCATTAAAATAGCTCCTGGCACATTTTTGGCAGATGCCAACTAGCACTTGCCAAAACAATCCAAAGCAGTTTCCAAGTTGGCATAGACCAGAAATCCTTTCCTGCCTGCACACAGCCATTCTGCATGGACCTTAAGGCAGTTACAAACTATGGCTGCAGGGTTGTAGGGCATGGTGCCAAAGAAAAATCATGCACACATTTAATTTATTAGAATAGACATTTATTAGAATAGGTGTTGTCTCTCACTGAAAGTATCACAGACCTACCACATTTTTTCTCTGTAAGTTACTTAAGAGCAGGTGATTCTCTGCTGGATAGGGGGATACACTTGGCAAGTCTTGCTTATATATGATAACATGAAAACAGTTTTTCATACCCAATTTTGAGTAAAATGAAAAGGAACCATGCACCCAGCCTCAACATCTTACAGCAGTTCTTTCAATTTCAACACAGTCAAAATTTATAGTAGCATTCAGAAAAACTCACCCACTGTGCAAACAAATGCAGTCTTTATGTGAACTTATAAAAGCTACAGGCTGGTGTGTAAAGGCTACAGCCTTTAGAAAGGCTGGGTGCAACAGCTGAAATTTCATTTGTGTTAAACAGTGTCTCTTAAAGCTGCCTTAAGGCAGAGGACTGTGAAGTGTCTAAAGCAATATCTATTTTTAGGGAAGGTACACAAGAGCCAGAGAACTGCAAACTACTAAACACTCATCTCTGCTCTGTGCAAACTGTCAGGAAAACTAAGAAAGGACATGCATGCCTGTCCTAATGTAAGCTGTAAAGGACATCATATCACAAACCTTCAGTTCTTTCAAAAAGTGAACCTGCTTTTAGATGAGCACTGACGTCTATAAAAATTCACCTGGATTTCTGAGGAGGCTTTCAACAAGGTCTCTCACCAAATGCTTTTATGGAGCCTGAGAAGCCATGAGAAATTAGAGGAATTATTCTGGTAAAGACAGAGACCAGTCTCAAGCAACAGCAGAATTTAATTAAGTATCACATGATTTCTTGAAAAAAGGCAGATGAAATGTGAAGAAATTCAAAGAGAAAAAAAAACAAAACAAAAACTCTTAAAGTCAGATAGGCTTTTAGCTGATCTTTACTGCTCAGGACATTAACTTGAAGAGATTATATATCCATGAAAATATCATCTCTGAGCTCAGTAGAGGTTAAAAAAAAATAAATCAGTGTTGGGATTTATTATTAAAAGAAGAGTGGGACAATGTATAGTCCAAGGATCTCTCTGAATGCTATTTGTAATTTTGTTCCTTCAACAAAAAGGAGCACAGAAATGGAAGCAAAATGCAGAAAAGCACAAAAAAGACATCAAAATTCAGAGAACCTCTATTTTAGGAACAATTAAGCAGTCATGAACTGAAGAGAACAGGACAGGACAGAAGCTTATAAAATCACAGCTTGCAGGAAACACTAATAGAGAGTAATTCTCAGTATTTCTTCCAACAAGAAAAAAGTAAAGGAAGAGCTTACAAACTATTATAGAGTAGTAAACAAGCAGAAGACTGTTTGCAAAAGCACATGGTTCAGCTGTAGATCTCTGTGCTACAGGATGTTGCCAACAGCCGAAGTTTGTAAGGTCAAAAGCAATGAGACAAATTGATGGAAGGTAGAACAGCTACACCTAGAACAGCTTGGGATGGGGGTGGGGGTAAGGAAGCTGTAGGGAAAGTACACCAGGAGAACCCTGCAAGCTTGTCCTGCTTTAATACAGGACATTACCCAAGGTCATGCTTCTCCTGGCTGGACCCCTTCAGAGAGCAGATGCTGGGCTAGATGGACACATACAATGCTTGTATTATATTACTTAAGGGCACGAGTTATGGTGAGCTCATCAAATTCTCTTTTTCACTCTCTGCATTGTCTCCCCACAGAACAGCAAATCAAGTCCAGGATTCTGAACAACTGAAAATGTGAATCCAAGATATTTAAAGTACTATTTATATTATTTTCATTAAAATAAACTATGCTCGTTTGGGGACCGGACGAACTGGGGAATAAGAAAAAAAAATGTATCAGACTGCAGAATTCTTTTCCATGGAAACAAAAGGCAGTCAAAAATCTATGTTTCCTTTCACTTCACAAAAAATTTTACTTTCTTCGCTTTCCTCTTCTCAAATGTAAACAGACAGGTAAGTCAGATTCAAAACCCCAAAAGACAGTTTACTAATTTTATGTAAATTTCTCTCACAAAGAACAGGTGGAAGAAATGAAACATAAATCACACTAATCTACTGTGCCACAGCAATAGCTTCTCAATTAAAATTTTTGAAGCACTGCCATGCTACACAGATACATGAAGTAGCACCAGCCATGGTAAAAGAAGCATTTTACTCTGCTCAGTTCATGATCTAAGCTGTCATCAATTTCATATTGCTCCATTTCATGCTTATAGGAAAGTCTGAAGAGATTTCATACTTGTGGAAGTTTAGAGGTATGAAACTGAACAGGAGATGCACATCTGAACTGCTTCCTGTAATTGCTATGATACTGGTATCTGTCTCTAGAAAGAGAACAAAACCTGGCATCTTCCCTTTTTCAACTCTGCATTGCTGTTTGTTCAGTGTCAGGCTATAAGACAATAGTGTACCAGCAGATATGCTTTCAAATTATGTCAGATATATAATAAATTCTGGTGGTCTGTTTAGAAGAATAATGCCGTAAATATGCAATCTTTTGTTCTGAAAATGGATTGTCTGCAAATCATTCAGATACTGATTATACTGCTGCTGTGGATGAGGAATGATGTTCCCCAGTTCAGTGTTCCCACTGAAACACTCCAAACCATACCCTGCTCGCTCACTGTCCCATCACCCCTTCCCCTGTGGAGGGCTGGACAGGAGAAATGGAGACATAAAAGGTAAAGATCACAGATTGAAATAAGAACAATTTATAGGAAACAGCAATGAAAAAGAATAACAAACAGCAACAGCAACAATATCAGAGTGTACATGGCAGGTGAATGATTCACATGCCATGTGTAAACCCCAACCAAACCTGACCCTGCTGCTATACTACTCGACCTAGGAGGGACTCCTTACCACATCCCTGGAAAATGAAGAGAAGTGGTAGGGAACAACCTCTGGGTCTTGGCCACACCCCTTCTGGCTACTGCAAAAATTAACATTGTCCTGGCTGGAACCAACACAACTGCCAACAAATTAAATAAATTATATACTTTACACTAATATGACATAAACATTTGCCTAAGACAGGTCAATGACATGTCAATAGGCTTCAGAATTATAAATTTCTATTCATAGGGTTATCAACTAATATTTATTGGCAATTATAGTGATCAATTACATGTGTTGATTTAAAGAGAAACCCCAGCAAGCTTACCTACTTCCTGTCATTAGCACTGGTATAATGAAGTTCTAAAAGTTACCTCCTTGACCAACACAGTATTATTCTGCGTTTCAAAGAAAGCACTAATTCCCAGAAAACACAAATCATGATAATCCTAGTGTAAGAAAAAGCATTTATAGAAATATTCTGTTACTCTATAGTTTAATATAACTTAAATCAGAGGAAGCTATTTATTAAAAATTATGAACAAGCAGTAATAAACTTAGAAAATATTTTAAGATCAAAATAATTCAGCAATTTATTACAGGAAAACAGACTTTAAAAAAAAATCCAGGCCAGCTATAAAAAATAAAGTAATAAATAACCATGCATTAAAAATAAAATACCTACTTGCCAGTGATGGTCCTCCAAAGCTGTGCACCTGCAATTGTAGGAATGTAAGATGAAACACAATGCACTAAATCAGAATTTTTATTTTTTATGCATAGAACATGCTCAGAATTGGGACAAAATGACCAAGGAATTATCTGTATTGGTCAAACAGGAAACCTATATTATCTTACAGCAACTGTTCTTGAATTGCTTTCTGTAAAGTTAACATACAGTTAAAATCATAAACAGAAAAAGTCAGGATCTTCTATGGCTACATTTCCACATGGAAGGATGTCATGAAGATGACAATGAACATAACTTTTACATCAACATACCCTTTATACACTGACAACCACCCTACATTCCTCATTAATCTGTAGGAGTCTTGCCATCTAGTGGCTGGCTGGAAACATGAAGCAGCTACACAGATGTGTTATACTGGGAAGAACTTTTTCTGCTCTTTGGAGTGAGTGGCACTTCATTGATTTCTATTCATTACTACAAGACTCCTACACTATTACTTTGAGAGCCTGATTTTTCTTCAACTCTGTCTACAATGGCATCAAAGGCAATAGTAAAATAAATGAGTTTACTACTGTAAATAATTATTCTATAAGCTAGGGAACAGAGATCTTCCTATCCTCATCTCTAAAATGAATGGTTAAATAATCACACAAACATGAGAATGGTACATCCTGGATTTGGTCACTACAAAAATATTATTTACAGGTACAAGTGAATTTACCTAAATCATTGTCTTCCAGCCAGCAAGGTGTTCAATGCTTGTGGTGATTTATACAGCACAGAGCTTAAAAAATCAAATTCTGTTTAGATTTGTAAGTTGGCCTCTGGGCTTTTAATACTCAAGCAGGAAACAGAATAGTATCCAAGACTCCCAGAAAAGGGAATGACAGTAAATCATACTTCAGAAAAGGTAGCAAATACCTGCTGTAACATAGCAGGGAACAACGGGCTTTGGCAGTCAGAAATGATGTGTTAGTACATCACAGAGGAATACCATGCTTCTCTGACACCCATTTCCTACTTTTGAACTATGTTCAGATGGTTTTTCAAACACTTTGCATGGGATTTAACAACAAATAAAAGGCAAAATAAGAATCTTGAAAAAATAAAACAACTTCAAGGCAATGAAAATTAAAACTTAGGCTCAACATTTTGTCAAAGAATTTTCAAGATGCTAATGAAGTACAGGACAGAATTAAAAAAAAACCCAAGCCAACCCAAAACACCAGACCAGCCAACAAACCCAAAATCCCTTTCAAAATTGGTTGTATTCACATAAGACTTTATACACACTGGATGCTACACACAGTAAAAAGAAAATACTGCTCGCTTCTTATTTCAACTGTGCTAAGATAGGTAATTTCTCTATCTATTTACAGATTTCACTTTTTTACATTTAATGTCCCAAAATTTCCAATAATTACATGATTAATGTTAGAAGAAGTATTAATGTTTAGGAAAACCTTGTATTTAGCAAAGAATGCATTTTCAGACCAGTTAAGAAACAAGAATGACTGTCCACTCATAACAATTACACTCATCTAAATGCTAAAATAAATCTCCTAACTCCCTTCCTATAAAATACAGAACTTCATTGGAAATGGCAATAGACCATCACAGATCTACTATCACTCTCTAAAATTAGCTGATACTTTTACAATAATAATAATATTGACATGGCTTTATGAATGAACTAGCATGCTCCAAATTGCAGGTTTTTAAGCATGGAACTCTATCAGTACACTTACCCTTTATCTTTGAGAATACCAAATCCTTCATTATCTGAAGAATTAACACTCCAAGTATTATGAGAGAAGTCAGATGATACACTCTCCAAGGGGTCAATGCAACAAACCTAGAATGTCAAGAAGAAATAAATGTTGAATACTTTAAAACTCTTTAGAAGCATACAAAAACTTATAGGCGCTACTAATACTGAAAAGAAATAGGAAGAAATAGACTCAGATTGTAATAACTGAATTCAGTTTCTCCCCACAACTTTTCCATGAGAAGCAAATATTGAGAGCTCCTAGCATGGTATTTAAAGATAGAAAGATTAAACACTGAGTTTGTAGTAGATTTTTGTCCATTCTTTTATTTACGCACAGAGAAAATAAAGAAAACAAAATATTTTAATTATTGCATGGAAACATACTACTTTTAAATTAACTGAGCTTTCATTAAAATTAATTGAATTGGCACAATACACAAGAAAAAAAAAGGTTAAAATTTTTGTTTCCCACAGAACCCATGTGGGATTTTTAGCAAGACTTAGCAAGATTTTATATAAATCATTCTTTCAGACTCAAAGATGAGGTAAATCTATATCATAGCATAACAGTAACTTGTCTTCAAAACCGAAATTTTTTTTTAATTACATAATTTTTTAGAACATGTCTAGTCAAGTCAAACAGACCCTAGACTCAGAAAGTATGAATTATAATCTCATGTTCTACTGACTTTGCTATCCAGGTGTGTCTGGAGATTAGCTCTTCTATCTGTTTAACTGGCAAATATCCCAATTCACAAAAAAAAGGGTGTGAAGTAAAAAGAATTAAAATTCAACTAACTAACTAAAAAATGCTAAAGTATTTTCATAGCTGTTTTTGAGCACTATAAATCAGAGATCTGAACAGAAATAGTGGACAAGTTAATTTTTCAAAGTAAAAGCAATTAACTTAAAAAAGTTAAGGTCAGCCAAAACCAGTAAAAAGCCACTGTCCAAGGGACTGGTTCCAATGAGAATACCAACTGAAAAAAAATCATACAATGCTGGGATGTTTTCAAGATACCTCTCAGATTTGAAAACAGGGCAGCTGGCTACCCTGTTTCTGCTGCAGAGCTTTCCTGCAAGAAAGAGGGGGAAGGGCAGTGAAAATAGTAGCAAACATGGCCACTGCGGGAAGCATAGAGGCACCCTTTGAGCACATTTGGATTTTTTTGAAAGAAAATTGACTTCACAATATTTCTAACAAGCTCAGGACACACTGCTGTAGTAGCAAACTGCTCCAGTCTTCCTTGAAAACCTCAAAAAGACTGCATTAAAGAAAATACCCACGCCACTAATTTTCACATTTAGCACAATCTCAGCATACCAATCATCCTGAGCAGACCAGTATATGAATTCCAATACAAACATATAAGCTAATTCTGAAGGTTTTATCCAAATATAAAGGGTTTTTATATCTGTAGAGAATTTGAGTTATAAGACTATTCTATAAAATAAATGTTTAAAATCAGCACCTTTGTGTAATTCAGCCAGCTCAAGAAAAACAAGTGTAGAGAAAAATGATTACAAGGCAACCTCTATCAGAACTGCCCAATCATAGCTCAATAAATCAAAACTCGCAACAGCTTTGCATCATGTTGTCATACTATTTTTCTTGTCAGCATTAGAAAACTTTGATTGTGTTTAAGTTCTACTGCATGGAAGACTTCGTTTAGCCTACTTAATTTATTGACAATGGGCTGGGGAGAGAGATGTGATGCTGTATAGAAAAATCAAGTGAAGAATTTTTCATCCAACTTCTAGGCAGAGAAGTTTATAACAAATGCAGACCTTCAATTTGTTTGGGCTTAATACCATGTCTGTTCTATAGGGTCTTCATGGTGCTTGTGCATGAATGTTTATACAGTCACACAGAATGCCCTGACTTAGCAATTACCATTGGTAATTGTTTTGATGGCCTCAAACACATACATCAATACCAAAATTTATCACAAGTGTCTGCATGTGTGTATGTACACACACATCTTACTAGCTTTTCAAGGTAAGATCAGATGCTTACTAAGAAGGCTTAGTGTATCTTTCAAAAAATGCACAGAACATGTTTGACCTACTTTATGCTCCCAGCTAAAGCATACTGTTAGTTTCATTGCAATCACAGCTGTCACCTGCTGTTAAAAACAATTGCACTAATGCGGACTAGGATTAGCAAACAAGGATTAACAAGGTAGCATCCTCTCTGAAAGATGCTTCCAAGTCATGTCATTCCACCTTCTCAGTACTGCAGTCTCTCTGCTCCAATGTTCGAAGAAAAAGCTGTAATCTAGTTGAAGTAATGTAGTTACCAAACAAGGACTTTTCACTTATTTGGAGAGCTTTGAATTGTTCTGATTGAATTTCCCATGCCTTAACACTATTACCTCTTTATCTAGATTGTGATGCTTGCATGAAAGACAATTCCTTGTAAATTTACTCAACAGCCAGCTTGTGTCAGCCCTCAGGTGCCAGAGCAACCAAATTAGAAAACTGTGATCCATATGCCAGAGATTGGTGTCCTTGAAGCCCTTCCTGGTGAAAAGCTGGTAAGGTCCCCTCGTACTTTTTTGGCATGTATCTATCATAAGCTTATCAAAAGGTTAGTTCAACACGCTGAGATCTGAAAACCACTTATTTTGCTACCAGTGTCAGGATTCAAAATTCTTCTAGGAATTATCAATATGATACATTGCGGTCAGACTAACAGTTGATGTGGTTAGGGCATTTTTCCCTCTCCTTGTTTTGAAGAACCATAACAGACTTTACTCTTAAGCATTTCTAACACACATATTTGACAAGAATTAAAAGCTCCAGAATGACATCTTCATATACTACACACCTGTTTTGTAGAAGAATACTACATAAGAGAAGCTTACTGAACATGCTCTCTTTTTTAAGCAATAAACTAAACAGACTGAAGTTCAAATTGTTTTATTTCTTCTACAAGTGGTATGGAAGTAAAAACCATTACTAGAGACATAACCAAGGCTTGCTCCCCCCGGAATTCTGCCATATTCTTATTCTGTGAATGGTTGAGAATGGTTGAGTTTTTTTGGGGTTTTTTGTTTTGTTGTTTTTTTGGTTTTTGTTGTTGTTTTGGTTTTGTTTTGGGGTTTTTTTGAAAGGGGGGGGTGGTGCTGGGAGGGTGTGAAGAAAGCAAAGGTTAAAACAATGTATAGAATTATGCACTCCAGATAACTACTTCAGTTAACAGGACAGCTTGCGCAAGAAGGGGACAAGAAATTCTGCTGTAGGCAGTGCAGGACTGTAAAAAGCCCAGTCATGAGGTGCCCAGGACTCAGTCCCTGTCACTGTCTGAAACAGGACTCCCTGAATAGGAAAGGCCCTCAGACACAGCCCCAAGGGGTGGGAGGATACAGCCACCTGGCTTTGGAGCTGCACAAGATGCCTGCCCCCTGTACTGATGGCAACAGTGGCCTCACTGTGAAGGATGTCTTCTGGCCCAGAGCATTCAAGTGCAAAAGCTACTGGAGGTGCTAAGCAGGTGGCAGTCCACTATGAAGCAGGACTTCCAAAAGCTTAATTGTGTAAGAACCTGAGCAACGTGTTCCAACTGGAGCACATTTGAGCCAGACTAGCTGACCTCCGGCTGCCTTTCCAACCTACATTCTTCTTCGTAGGAAGAACGTAAGTGTGATGGAACCAAGCCTGCCACTCAACTCCACTGTGGAAGACTGAGAAACCATTTTTGTGAAATGAAATAGGAGTGGTATTGATGGATAATTAAGCACTGGTTGTCCACAATGGTTGTGGAATTTCCAGCCTTGATGGCTGTGAAGACAAAACCCTGAGCAATCTGATCTGAATTAAGTACTGACCTTATTTTGAGCTGCAAGTCATACTAGAGACCTCAGGAAGTCCCTACCAACCTGAATGGTATTTTCATTCTGTGACTATTTTAGCCTATAAGAAGTGGTTGGCAAATATTTTTTCGGAAAGATGCTGACCATAGAACTTAAAGGCACAACAGTTTCTGTTTCTGGGCCTGGCTATACTGCCATGGTGTACTGAAATGATTCTAAACTGCACAAGTAAGAATCAAAACTTGACAACTTCCACAATTAAAAGTAGAAATTCTTCAACTTCATGATGGTGAACCTAAAGATAGAAAAGTAGCCTGAAGTACCTTCTCCTTTACGTCTTTTCTCCAGTTCCTTATGGTATGGGTCATATGTCAATACTGTCAATTTGTTTTATCAAAAGGCAGCTATCTCAGTGCAGAGAACCTGGGACAATTAACTGCACAAATCAGATTGTACAAAACTATTCAAGTGGCATGATCCAGCTAAGAAATTTCGAAGGTTAACAATATCATAGAATACTGCAGTCAGTAAACATAATGAAAAACTTATAGGGCATGACAAAAATTGTTTTTACTTGTATCATGAGATACAGGGAAGGCACAGACCTACCAAATTGTTTTAAATGTTAAGTAAATCAATTTGATTACTTAATTTAAGCTGTTAAGGTTTTAAGTTTTTTACAACATATTCTAGAACTATGAATGAGTTGCACTTCATAAACACAAAACATAAGAAAACATTTAATCAAAAATTAAAGTATTTAGACTATCAGCAGCCAGTGCTAGTTATTTCTAGAAAGCCTTAGCAGGTACATTTATAACAACCATCTATCTTTAGATGAATTCCAGAGATAATCACATAAATAAATGAGAGCTGTCAATAAAACAGATGTGAGCATGGAGCTTTGCTTCACCATCAGCTTTAATGGCACATTTATTAGCTGCATGAGTGATTTTTGTACTTCAGTTCTGTGTTCCACAAACTCATATTTGCATCTTAAAACCAGAAGCCAAACTCTTCAGAGTAATTCTGTGGAGCTCTAAAGAGTGCAGAATGGTATAAAACTGTTTCCTCATAAAATGTTTAGGTGAAAATCTACTGACACCTTTCAGCCTGAGTTTTCCATAGAACCAGTCTTCTTCCAATCAGACACTGGTAAGCAAGCACAGCCTATGACACAAACCACACAGAGAATGGCCGTCACCTGTGGAGAGGAGATATTTCTAGTGCATTTT